TAAGCGACTTGCCCAGGGTCACACAGCTAGTGTCTGAGGTCGGATTTGAACTCAGGCTTTCTTGACTCCAGGCCTAGCACTCTCTCTACTGCCCCACATAGCTGTACCTATTTATATATTACATGAACGCATTTACTTATTACACGTAGCAGGCAGTATGCTAAGCGCTTTACAAATATGACCTTACTTGATCCTCAGAATAACCCTGAGGGGTAGGTGCATATTGTGCCTATTATAACAGGTACTATATGCTATTACTCCTCATTTTACAGTTGAAGAAACTGGGGCAGATAGCAGTTAAGTGATTTGCTCAGAGTCATATAGCTAGGAAGTATCTGAGGCTGGATTTGAACTCAGGTTTTCCTAACTCCAGGTGCCGTGCCCTGCGCTACCATCTGCCTCGATGATGGCTTGGGAGTCAGAGGCCCTGGGTTTGAGTCCCAGCTATGTCCCTTTCCCTCCCTGGGCCTCAGTTTTCCTCCCCCATAAAATGAAGGGGTGGGACTAGTTCCTTCCAGGTCTCGTCACCTCAATGGGCCGCTGTTTCCAGACAGGCCTGAGCACTCTTCCCCTCGGCCTCGGCAGTGTGGGTGGAGGGCAGTAGGTGGAGGAGGCTAAGAGGCAGGGGCAGGAGGCACATGTGCCCCAGGAGCAACCGTGGCCTTTATAAATATTGCTGGAGGATTCAGCAGCACTTGGAGATCCTCTCGGCCTTCCCCCCAACCCCCCCATCCTCACCCTGTCCTCTCTGAGCCCAGTCCCTCTGCAGGGCCATGGAGGACCAGCTTCGGCCTAGGCTCACAACCACCAGCCACTTGGCTCTGAGCATGTGATGAGACTGGGAGGAGCAGGAAAAGGTGGTCACTGGCCCCCAAGAAAAGATCCAGCTTTGGATGAAGGTAGAGCGTGACTGTGAGGTTCTTCTAAAAAGCTCGACTCCATAGCCTCTGAGGACCAAGCTGGAATAGATCTCAGTTTCCTTATCTGTCAAATGGGACTAAGAATCCCTCTCCTGCTTACCTCGAGAGGTGACTGAGAAGATCAAGTGACCAAAGGCATATAAAGGGCATTGTATACTGGGCCACAAGCTCGGGCCATCAGTTCCTGACAGGCCCCAAGGGGACTGTGAATATTGGGATACCAGAACTCCATCCTTATCCACCTCGCTGGAGTGACTCTTGTGACCTTGGACAATTCAGTCAACTTATTGGGCCTCAGTTTCCTCAAGTGTGAAATGAAGTGTCTCTAATTCTCAAGATCTGGGCCTAGTCCCAGATGTTGCAACTGCAGCCTGTTTCCCTCTGGATCTTAATGACCACAGCTGGGGACAGGGGCAGCAGGCAGCTTGGGGGGCAGCACTCTAGGGACTGGGCCCAAGGCCAGGGGGCGGGATTGTACAACCACGGAGGCTTTCCTAATATTTCTTTTGGAAAAACGCCTTTTCTCGACCATAAAATATCACTCAACAGGGCCCGTGATGATTCATTTTGTGATAAGCCAAGTCACACATATCTAGTCCCAGGGAATAACGTCTCCTTCTCAGGCATACCCAGAAGAAGGAACATGAGCTTTAGCGGGAACTAGAGGATTTTCAGATTTAGGACCTGGAGGGATTTCAGGGGGCCATCGAATCCAACATTCTCAGTTTCCACATAAAGCAACTGAGGCCCAGAGGAGAGAAGCAATGTATTTTCTGACCTTCAGAAAGTGACAGAGCAGGACTTGAACCCATATTTTCTTGATCAAGACCTGCCCCTATTTTCTATGCTCCTGTTAGAACGGCAGCCAATAAGAAAGGGAGAGATGGGGTACAGTGGCCCTCAGAGTCGGGAGACTTCTTAGTGCTTCCCAGTAGACTAAGCGCTGCTCTACATTGATGGAAGGAGACCCCACACTGGGGATTCCCAACTAATATTGGAATCTCAGGTGCAGGCAGTCCCCGTTCCTACTCTCCCCACCCCCAAAAAGAGAAAAATCCAAAATGAGCAAATCTTTCTACGAATCACAGCTTAAGTTTGCCATGTTCTTCTGCACTTGGCCTTTTTCTGTTTTCTTTTCATATACCAAACTGCTCAAGACAGACCAGTGGATCACTCAATGTGCAATAACACTGACCATGTAATTGCACCAGACCATGTGATCACTGGATACACCAGGATGTGAGCTTCTCAAGGACAAGGCCAATTTTCTCTTTGTGTCTCCATCCCCTGACACACAGTAGAGGCTAGGAATAGGCATAGGGATCGAATCTGTGATTTCATTGATAGAAGGAACTCCTAGGTGAGAGCACCCCTTCAGGGGCAGCTAGATGGTGTAGTGGATAGAGCCCTGGCCCTGTAGTCAGGAGGACTTGAGTTCAAATCTGGTCTCAGACACTTCCTAGGTTTGTGACCCCGGGTAAGTCACTTGACCCTGATTGCCTAACAAAAAGAGAACAATTCAGGGCAGCACCTTCTCTTCAAGTTGGTGTCTTAGAGAGCCGCCCAGAGCACTAAGAGGTTCAGTGACCTACCTAGGGTCACCCAGTCAGGAAGAGTCAGAGGCAGGACTTGAACTCAGGGCTTCTGGTTCTTGGTCCAGCTCTCCATCCATTCTGCATTCTCCCTGAGTGACATGATCCAGGCGGCATGGAAAAGAGCACTGGATTTTGACCCAGACAACCTGGGTTCAAGTTTTAGCTTTGTCACTTACTTACTGAATAAATTACGTGGCATTAGAGTGAGTGCTTAATTAATGCTGTTGAGCATAAGTGAATTGAATGTGATCCCACTGAATGATGCCATGGAATCATCGAATGCCATTTGTCAATGCGCAGCTACCTACTGAAGCAAGATGGATTGAATTTGCTCACTGGACCTGTACATAAGGAATTAGGACTACCAAAACTGAAGCTCTCTCCTGAGCTCCCCCTCTGCCTGCTGGACGTGTCCCCCCAGATGGCCCAGCAGCATCTCAACGTCAGTCTGGCCCAATGTTCCTTTGAGCCCTGGCCGCTCGTCACTGTTTTCCTGTGTTTGGTATTGTTGGTGTGACCTTCAGCTCTCCCCTCTCCCTCATTTCTCCCAGCCAATCAGTTACCACAACCAGTTAATCCCACCCTCACATCTCTCAAATCTGCCCCTTCTCTTTTATTCCCCTTTATTCCCTAGGCCTCAATTTTCTTATCTGCCAAGAGGCCTAGATGGCGTCTGAGGGCCACATCTTGGATCCCATGTTCCTCTCTGACCCCTCCTTTCTCCTTCTGGAGGTATTCATATTTGTAGCTCTTGTCTCCTAGGCTTGTGGTGAAGATGGTGCTTTTTACATGGTATGGGGCTTCCCATAACGCTTCCTCAGACCTGCAACCTCAGACTATTCCTGTCTCCCTATCCCTGATGCTAGCCCCCTGAAGTTCACCTGCCACTCGGAGGCCCCTCCCATGGCCCTGTGACCTCTGTGGGTGGTGGATGGATCCCTGCTGGCAGGGCATCTCCCTCCCTGGAAAGACTTAGCAAGAGTCACGGGCAGGCTTGGGAGTTTCGCTGTTCACTCTGTCTTCAGCATCATTTAGAAAAATGTTAAGTAAGACCAGTCCCCTCCTAATCCCTGAGGGATCCCACTATTTACACTTCTCAATGGAGAGAAGGATCTGTTTATCCCTTCCCTGTGTCTCTCTCTTCAGGCCAGTTCTCTGTCCATAACAAAACATTCCTTCAATCCCCTGGTGAATCCACTTTTTAAAATAGCTTTTGGTACAGAACCTTACCAAAGACTTCTTGGCACACTCCTGGCCTCTCAAATAAACTGTATCTACAAGTCCTTCCTTATCTCTGCACTTATTTATTCTTAGTCAGGCATGATTTCTTTGGTAATTGATTAGATGTGAGAGGCATATCCCTCTCCTGGAAAATGGAACTCTCTGTTCTAGGAAACGGTCATTGGGTCCTAGCCAACAAGTCTAAAACACCTTGGCCTCCTCCAGGTGGTCAAGCTCAAAGTTCCCAAAGCCTCACAATTATCACCTGGCCTTACCTGGGCCCTCTGCCAGGTTACTTTGTCATTTCAAGCTCACCATCCCAAGCAGCTTACTCCCAGTATGGCAACCTTATTATTTAAGCATTGAATTCCTACACACTTCCTTTTCTACTCTCTAAAAATGTTTTATAGGCCAAGAGAGGATTGATCAGAGCATCATAGAATATCGATGCTAAGAGACCAGAACATAGAATGGCAAAATTGGGAGGCACTTTAGAACAGGCAATGTCAGACCTGGAAGAACATCATAGAACGTGACCCTAAAAGACGTACACCAGAACAGAGAACATCAGAGCTTGGAGGGACCTTAAATAGGTACCTACCTTACCTACCTCCCGGGGTCATCATAAGAAGAAAATCAGATAATCTGTGTTAAAAGCTTTTAGTATGTCCATCACACTTTGAGGAGCTAGCCATATACATTCTTTTTTTTTTTTTTTTTTTTTTAGGCAAGTAGGGCTAAGCGACTCACCCAGGGTCACACAGCTAGTAAGTGTCAAGTTTTTGGTCCGAGGCTGGATTTGAACTCAGGTCCTCCTGACTTCAGGGCCGGTGCTCTATCCACTGCCCCACCTAGCCGCCCCCCATATGCATTCTAAAAAGCCAGTCCTTCCAAAGGTACTTATGGCTGATCATGGCCCACTGGGCCACATTTCTATTTTAACTGGGGGCTCCTAGGGATGAAATGCCTTTAATCTAAGAGCTCCATAAGAGGCAAAGAATTTTATAATGATAATATATTTAGAAGGACACAGGTCTGAGACTAGGATCTGCTCTCATGTTTCACCTTGTTGTGGGCCCTTGAACAAGTCACCACCTCATTAGGCCAATAAAATGTCCTCTGGGGTCCTTCCCTTCCAGCTCGGGAATCTGTACCCTCTGTCATTCTCTCAGTGGTACAATTTCAGATGGTGCAATCCCGCTACGGAGGTGGCAGCCCATTCTCCTCTGCCTGGCACACACCCCAAGTCCCATTTTCTATTTACCTGAGACGTAGACCTTCATAACTCTCTCGTCCCGGCCAACCTTGTTGTAAGCGGTGCAGAAGTAAACTCCAGAGCTCGTGCTAGAAGTGATGGTCAGCATACTCAGGGTCTGAGGAGGAAGGGGAGAAAAGGCACGCTGCAGTTAGGATTATGGCTTTGACCACAGGCCACGGGAATGATAGACAGTCTCTTGGGATGGAACTGGATATCAATGATGGTCTTGATGCAGTGGGCTAGAGAACCAATATTCACCATTCACCTACTCAGCAAGTTTTTGTGTTCGATGCTGTTGATGGTGAGGGGAATCCAACAATGAATGAGACATGATACCTGCCCTCAAGAAGCTTACAGTTCAGTAGATGTGAGACCCTCACATAATGCCCTGAATTGTAGCTACTTATCTGGAGTTCAGATAAGAGATCATTTTCAGTGGGGGCAATCAAGGAGATGAATAATTCCCATAATTCTACAAAAGCTTGTTATCTGAGCTACTGTCAGTCAATTAATCATCAATTGAGCATCTATTAAGCACCTACTAAGTACCAGGTCTTCAGAAGCCCAGTTTAGGATTGTCTACCTTTTCCAGTGATGGCCAAACTTTTTTGATCATTTACTTCATTAGTAAAATGTTTTTGAATACATGCTTCCAGCAAATGTATATTTACTTATTTATAAATCATATGTATACTACTATTTTAATCATCATGGACATACTAAAATCACACAAATAACAAAACATTTTTAAAGGTCAAGATAAAGATGAAATATCATTGGATCCCAGAGGCAACAGGAAGCCCCTCCAGGAGGGGCTTTGGGTAAACCATTTTGGCGATTTTGGAGGATGGTCTAGAGTGGGGAGAGACTTGAGGCAGGCAGACCCCCTCCCCGAGTAGGCTATTGCAATAGTCCAGTGTGAGGTGATGAGGGCCTGCACCAGGGTGGGGACGGTGTCAGGGGAGAGAAAGGAACATATTGGAGAAATTTCAAAAAGGTGAAAGCAATAGCCTTAGCAAAAGATCAGATATGGAGTGGGGATGGTGGGGGGCATGTGGAATCCAAGATGACGTGGCAGTTGTGAACTTGGGGGCCTGGAAAGACAGCAGCGCCCTCAACAGAAATGGAGAGGTTTGGAAGAGGAATGGGTCTGGGGAGAAAAATAATGTGATGTGGTCTCTGATTATCATGGTCCACATGGTCTGTTTAACCTATGAGACTCACTTGGTCCCACTCAAAATGAAAAGGGGCTAAGGTAGGGCTCTTATTCACTGGGGACTGCTCCAGAGAGCCTAGTTGAGGGGCCCCTGCTATAGCCATGAAGCCATCTTGGGGAGTAAGCAGTGAAGATGAGAGGTGGGGGATGTCCACAAAGATACGGGTGTGTTAAAGGCAAGCCCCACCCATCTTCACCCTTTAATTGGCCGATCATATAACCTTTGGGGTCAGGCCATGGCTGCCACGTGTGGCTAGGTGACCAGAAGGGTTGAAAGGGAAGAGGACCCAGAAGAGGTTCTGGAGATGGTGTGGTCTAATGGAAAGAACACTCAAGTTGGAGACAGAAGACCTAGGTTTGAATACTAGTTCTACCACTTATGGGCCTCCTAGAGCTACAGTTGGCTATCAAGTCCAACCTTCTCATTTTATAGAAAAGGAAACTGAGGCTCAGGGAAGGGTAGTAATTTGCCCACAGTAACACAGGTAATTAATGGAAAAGTCAGGATTTGAAGATGGGTCCTGGGACTCCAAATTCAGGACTTTTCCTCTTGGGCCTCACTTTCTTCTTTTGTTAAATAAGGGGATTAAACTAGGTGTTCTCTCTACTCCCTTTAGCTCTAACATTCAGTGTTCTTTATTCTAAGGCCTCAGGGCAGCTAGGTGGCAGATAGAGCACTGACCCTGGATTCAGGAGGACCTGAATTCAAATCTGGCCTCAGACACATAACACTTACTAGCTGTGTGACCCTGGGCAAGTCACTTAACCCCATTGCCTAATCAAGAAAAATAATAATAATAATAATAATAATAATATTCTAAGGCTTCTTCCAGCTCTAACATCTTCTATACTAAGTTCTAGGGCCCCATCCAGCACTGTCATCCCGGATCCTATGTTCTAGGGCCCCGTCCGGTGCTGTCATCCTGAATCCTACGTTCTAGGGCCCCATCTGGCACTGCCGTCCCGGATCCTACGTTCTAGGGTCCTCTTCTGCTTCTAACATCCAGATAACAACAGACACACCACAAACTGGCCCAGGCAAATAGTATCCCAGAATACTTCAAAACAACTGACAGATACAATTGTTGAGTGGCACATTCATGCCATCAGAACTCCTGAAAAACGTTTGGAGAACAAGCAAGTTAGATGAGGCCTGGAGAAGGGCCCACTGGGTCAGATTTTCCAAAGAAGGAATAAGGTGAGTCGCTGAGCTGGCAACACACCAGACTGTTTTATTAAAAGGGATGGTCTATGAACATCTTGAAAGGGAAGCTGTGATTACTAAGCTCCGACACGAACAGGTCGTGCTACACCAACTTCATTTCCTAGACTGGAAGCTCCAGGGGATACCACAGCATACTTGGACTTAAGCAAAGCATTTGACAGAGGCGCTCCTGCTCTCCTTATGAACAGGAGAGAGACAGAGAGAGAGAGACACAGACAGAGAGAGAGACACACACACAGACAGAGACAGAGAGAGACAGACACAGACAGAGACAGAGAGAGAGACAGAGAGAGGAGAGAAAGAGAGAGGAGAGAAAGAGAGAGAGGGAGAGAGAGACACAGAGAGAGAAAGAGATGTGTTGCCAGCAGGGCAGCTAAGGGGTGCCACAGTGCACAGAGCGATAGACCTGGAGTATGGAAGACCTGAGTTCAAATCCAACCTCAGACACGTCCTAGCTGTGTGACCTGGGGCAAGTTGCTCTACCTCTGTCTGCCTCAGTTTCCTCATCTGTACAATGGGGATCATCATAGACCTCCCTCCCAGGGTCATTGTGAGGATCAAATTTGTAAAGCACTTAGCACAGTGCCTGGCACATAGTAGGTGATTTTTTAATATATATGTATACACACACACACACACACACGTACGTATATATATATATACACACATACATACATATATATACACATACACATGTATGTGTATATGTATGTATATATAAGTATAATGTCTATATATGTGTATATATATATATACATATGTCAGCTATTATAATTTGTAGCTGTCTTTATCTAGTTAGAATCATTGGGTACGTTATTATTTTTGTATTGTTTTCTTCACTCCGTGCAACTTCACATCAGTTTTCTCTATTGATGGAATATTATTCTCTAACAAGGAATGATGACTACGAAGGATTCCTTTGAGTGCATGCCTAGACACATTTTTGTCCCTGTCATTCTCTTCTAACCCTCCTGTCTAAGAACTTGCTCTGGTCCAAATTATCTCAAAATCCCCTTCCTTTAAAAACCAAACTCTTACTCCCTCCAAGAATCCGTATCAAATGATGTCATATTTATATGGTGCTTAGCACAGCAGCCTGGCACATAGTAGGTGCTTTATTGATGCTTGTTTCCTCTTCTGCCTCTCCGAGGGCACTACTTGGAGTCAGGAAGACCTAGGTTCAAATCCTACCTCAGACACTGGACATGTGACTCCAGGCAAGTCTTGTGACCTGTCTGTGCCTCCATTTCCTCACCTCTAAAAAGAAGGGGTCGGACCCAGTGGCTCTAAGGTCCCTTCTAGCTTGACTAATGATCCTGGAATCCTTTGGAGACTCTTCCCCACTCCATCTCCATTGATTAGCTGGTGAGGAACAAAATCTTATTTCATAGGATACAGAGCAGGATTGAGCCTTAGAAATAACCTCCTTCATACAAAGGAGGAAACCAAGGCTCAGAGAAGGGACATTACCCACCTAAAGTCAGCCAACTAGATAGATCTTTGATCTAGTGGACATTTCCAACTGGACACTTAGGTATCGCGAGTCAGCAATTCAATTCAATTTACAAAGCATGTGTTAAGTTCCCCTGGTAGGCACTACATACCAGCAATATAAATGCTCCGACTCTGTGTATTCAAAACACAATTCATTGTCTCCCCAACTCTCTTCTCCTCCAAACTTTCTGAATTCCTGTTGAGGACACCACCATCTTCCCAATTAACCATATTCACAGCCTGGATGTAGCCCCCCCACCCCATCCTATTAATTGTCAGGTCTTGTCAATTACACTTCCAAACCATGTCTTGAATCCACCCCCTCCCCGACACACACACACCCCTGCTCTCATAGCTACCACCCTAGTTCATTACTTCTTCCATGGAAAACTTGGATAGGCTCCCAAATGGTCTAGCCAGGGGTGGAGAACCTGTGGCCTGGAGGCCACGTGTGGCCTTCTAAGTCCTTGGGTGTGGCCTTTTGACTGAGTCCAAGTTTTACAGAACAAATCCTTTTATTAAGGAGATTTGTTCTGTGAAATTTGGACTCAGCCAAAGGGCGACACTTGAGGACCTAGAGGGCCACGTGTGGCCTCAAGGCCAAAGGTTTGCCACCCTTGGGCTCTAGCTCCTCTCCTGCCCATCCTCTACATTGTGCTTTTGTGCTATTCTGATTTGGCCATGGCAATCTTCCACCAAGAAGCTCTAGGGTTGCCCTAGCATCCCTAGGGTAAAGTGTAAATGCTTCAGTTGGGTCTGTAAGGCCCCTCACCAGCTGGTTCTAGGGTACTGTCAATCCTCAGGCCAGTCCTCCCCTTCACAGATTTGGGGGTCCAACCACACTGCATGCATTCCCTCCTCCCCTCTCCTCTTAGAATCCTTAACTCCTTCAAAGTTCAGCTCAAGCCCCCTCATATTAATATATTATATGTGTACGTATGTGTGTGTGTATATGTGTTTACATGTATGTGTCCATGTGTATTGTGTATGTGTATGTACTTGTATGTGTATTGTGTATATGTATATTTATATGTATGCCCTTAGACATTGTGTATGTAAAGATATACATGTGTATATGTATTGTGCATTCACATATATGTATATGTATGTATACATGTGCATCTTTATATAAGTGCATTGTGTGCATATATTTATATGTATATATGCATACACATTGTGC